AAACGGCGTCTCCGCAATGTGTAGGCAGTCCTGATAGTCTGATGGAATGTTCCAATGTTCCCACTGCAGCATATTGGAACCCGTGGTTGGTTTAAACACGAAGCCTTTGAATCATGGTCAAGTGGGCCAACCATGATGTCGAGTCATCAGGTGCTCCATCTTTCATTGGCGAGTGGTCACGAAAACCCCTTGTGCGTCGGCTGAGCTTCACATCAACGACTAGAAGGCTCCTCTCAAGTCCTTTTCCCGCACGTTACTCCCATTGAAAAAGTTACTGTCTAAGCAGTCTCACCTGTGACATGTGTTTTGCATTGCGACAGAGAAGATTGTTTTTGCAGGCTTCTTGCTGTAGCTTTACAAGTCTCTATTGCTCGCAAGAAAGATACGGTTTAAGGGTCTGGCAAGACGTTTGAAACGTCAAACATGTTTGGGAGTTCCTAGCAGTACAGTCAAAGCCATGGATGCACCCGACGCCATGAGGGGACGCCCTGCCAAAAGGTTGGCAACTTAGAGCCTTAACACAAAACCTGAAAGCTGGGAATGCCAGAAGCCTGGCAAAGCGTTGCGCTACCTGGTTGGAACCGGGTAAGTTTCCAAAATTACGAAATAGGACACTTAAGCCGGTAATGTGATTTGATGCAACCGTGACATCTGGAACTGTGGGATTTGTTGGCTTGGAAACATGCACATTTGCAAAGTTACAGAGCTATACATTTTTTGCGTCTTCAGATCATGATACAAAATGTTTGCATAGAGAGTAGCCCAAATAAATGACGTAGATCAACTTGTTCGGTGTTTACGATTTGTTGGCCAATTGCACACTCTTACGCAGCACTTGCGCCGAATGCCCATTACGTTCGACTGATGTTCATTGGTAGTTCCCTATGCAGATTTAGTTCTCTTCCGTCGCTTTTGACCAGGAATTGACGTCAAGCGTCTCCATGAATCATAACATCGACACGTGAGGCAGAACTTTTTGCCGCTAAAAATATATTGCATGTATGTACATGGGCAGATTTGTTTATGTTATTGTATCCCAACTGTCAGCCAACAGCTCATGCATTGAAACTTGCGAACTTACAGTCCACGAACCAGAAGTTAAAGCTTGTGCAAATGTTCGTTCGATATGCTGCTGTCGCTCATGGCCCCGTAGCAACATGACAGGCAGGATGCGAGGTGATAGCTGAAGAATTGAGCGACAGAAGACTTTGTCATGAGTGAGTGCATGAGTGAGTTCATGATTTGAGACGAACGTCTGTGTTTGTTAAGTGCGGAGTTGCAGGCGCAGGCAGCAGTTCGTTTGGTCACGATTTCCTTCGGTTGTGCCACGACAACAACGGCATCGATCTTCACAAGTTGCTGGCGCCTGAAACCATCGTTGCGACAAAGGGACATAAGTATGTTTTGTTGTTTTGCTTACGTCGCCCTGAGGCTCCAAACAACCACCGGCAAGCAGCCTGCAGATGCTGATTTGGAGGAACGGTGCATGCACATGTGTGTAACTTCCGTTTATCCATGTGGGTTCTAAGCGCACGCGATAGGGCACCAAAGACGACGTCGTCGCAAAGAGCATTGGGCTTGCTTGGAGCGCCGGGGCAACAGCTGAAGGCAGCAGGAGTGATGATTTTGGCTTGCCAGACTTCGTGGTTGTTGTCTTCTGACGAAGGCTTAGATGCCTTCCTAGAAGCTCTGCGGCAGTGGGCCCGAAGGTGGGCCTACAGAGCAGCACGTGTTTGAGCGTTTCTTCATGCTGACTGCACTTGCCGCGGCACTTGCGAGGTATCTGGACAGAAACGATAAGGTCCGATGGATGCTGGCACCGATGCTACTCGGTTGTTTGTTCGACTGCTCTATGAAGAAGAGTCCACTGGCAGGGGCCCACAAAAGTCCTGATCGTCAGAAAGGGCCTGCAGTGCTTGCATTTCCGTAGCTCCGGGAGATGGGTTGCGAGCACTTTGAAGGCTCTTTCTATCAAGTAGTATTAAAGGTTAAAAATGCAGGGTTTGTTTTGTTTTGTTTTCTTGTTCTTGTTTTTCCCCAGAGAGGTGAAGGGAAGCTCGTTTAGGGGGTGCCTTGTCGCAGTGGAGCGGTGCTCTGAGGCTGTGGATGGCAGCCAGGCCGAGGCATGGCTGAGAAGAAGTTCGACTCTGTGCGCGTTTGTGTCCGGAATTTGTTTTTGGGAGTCCTAAGCCTGAGACTTGTTTGGCGGTTCCGGGAGCGGTCTCGCGCTCACGGAGTCTTAGGCTGTTGCTGTTGTGGTATGTCATGGGTCTCGAGAGATCTGGCAGCAATGAGCTGCTCCAGGCAGATTGCTGTCGAGCTGGATGGGAAGGATTCTTCCAGGCATGCCTGGCTTTCTTCAAACTAACTTTCCGTCCGCGCCGTGGCCTGGGAGATGCGGTGCAGGTTCCGAGGGAAGGTGGTGGAGGCCAAAGTTGGCTTTTCTCGAAAGGCGCTAACGGCAGCAAAACAGAAGCATGCGAGCCTACACAGGAGTTGCGAATCGTCTTCACCAAGCTCCACCAAGACAGAGCCAGGAGGGAGGCAACAGCTGCGAACACGACATGAGAGCATCTCTTAGAGGATCTCCCTTCGCTTGATGGTTCTCGCAGCCTCGCAGGGTGCCCTTGTAATTTGCTGCGAGCTCTTACGACTCTACCGGAGCCTCGGACAGGCGTGCGTCGCGGCAATACCTAAGAATTGCAAGAAAGATTAGTTTTCTTCGTGTCCTTTCTCTTGTGGTGGCAGGCATCCCAATGCAGCTTCATCCTGACGACCGTTGGCCAGAGCCTAAGCACCGAGCGACCTTCAATGTTTGCTGCATGAAGCGGAGGCAACGTGTGGCGAGAAGACAAGCCGGATCCCAAGCTGGAGCAGGCTTCATTGTGATGACTTCCTCGGGCGGCTTTCTCAGGTTTGATCCTGACAGGCTACCAAAGTCGTTGCTTGTGACTTTGTGACCTCCAACACTCTGCACACTTCCGGTTTCCCTGTGGAGCATGTTCATGCAGGTTTAGGTGACATCTTCTGTCTGGAGGTACTTCCTTTGGGGAAAGCACCTAGTGCTGGAAGGCAAAATCGTCGAGGCGATTCTGCCCTGCAGAAGGAAATTGGGGAAACTGCTAGCACTGAGCCCATCTCAATAGTGACAAATCACCGCCAAAAGTGTCAGTGCCAGGCAGAAGCCAAACTATCACGGGCATTCTCACTTTGCCCTCTCAAGGCTCTCCTGCCGTGTCTTATGGTGTGTTCGTGTCGCATGTAAGCGGCTTATTCTTTGACTTTTCTCCCGCATGTCCCTATCCTCTGCTTTTTGCTGCAGGAACTAGGTGCATGAGCTGTGAGTGGCAAGATTCGGTGCATCGTTTCGAGGCCGCTGGCAACCGGCAGAGGTGGCTGTTTTGGTTGTTCGGCGAAACCATGCTGCGGTCATGAAAGCGTTCGATGTGAACTACAGGATTTTGACATACTTGATTCCCTGTCGACTGCGGCTTGGTCAGTATCCATCTCGAGGCCATCAGCATCCTCTAAATACTTCTGAACTACAAGCTTCACTTCAAGCAGCCGCCACGAGCTCTGTGCAGGTTTGCTGAAGCGGAACGGGCTCTTGAGGCCGGTAGTTCCGTGAGGTACTGCTTCCGCAAAGACACGTATGCATGTTTCGACACATCAGTGCACTTTGGCAACGGCGCTTTGCATGCACAGCCTGGCGGGGCTAGTGGTGGCAACAGCCGCCGGTGACGTGCGCCGCTTCAACGAGGATGCCCGGACTGGAAGATTCGCACGTTTGCGGCAGCAGTGGCCTGCTTGACCAGGAGCTGGTTCGGCAGGCGTGGACGCCCCTCCCATCAGCAGATCATGCAGCGTCCCAGGGTGCTTCGCCAATATGAGGAAGCGCAGCTCATTGCACTGGGTACCTACCTGGTGACGGTCACATCCTCAAGGCAAAAGCCGCGTCGCTATATCCTGCTAGGTTTAGCCTCAGCGTCGTGCAGCACAGCGATGCACTGCATGACAGCACACGACGGTCTGTAGAACTTTGCTGAGACTGCTAGCAGCGTCTAATAAGGAGAAGCTCAAAGTAGTCGCATACCGGAACCTTGCGAGACATGTGTGACACCCTCAGCGACCTTCGTCTCTGTCGGTTCATGTGCAACATGCACCTGGGCACCTCGGCACCTCGGCACCCCAGGTTCGAGCACCAAAGTGAGAAGCTTGAGGCGATGCAGAAGTTCAAGCAGGATACAAAGCACTGTAGACTCTGTAGACTGTAGCTTTGTCGCCGCTGTGGTTGCAAGGCATCTTGGTGAGAAGGCATGTTGTCAAGCCTGCGAGCAGAGTCAGGACTTCGCGCCCTACGAGTGTGCCTTCCGGTGGCAGGATATCCTGTCACAGCCCGCAATCAGCACGACACCGTCCTGTGACATGTTGCCCAACTCGATACAGGACGATTGCTCTGAGGACGAGACCCTGTGCCTGTTGGCTCACTTGGTACGCCCTCCTCCAAATTGTGGCAAAGAGATCCTGGATCACGGCTGAGAGCACTCTCATTGTATAGCCTGTGAACCTGGTGCAGATCTACATCGGGGCTGTCAAGGGTTATCTCTCGGACCAGCGTCGCAAGGTCGTCTACTCCAAGGCTGGAATGCTCAGTGAACACGCGCGAGAGAAGTGCCGGTCATGGTGAGGAGAACCCTTTTCCGGCCGCAAGCACCTGGGCGAGTAAGGCATAGGGACGCCGGCTTCACGCATGGTTAATGCGCGTTGCCTAAGGGCTGCTGAGATGCGGCGAAAAAGCAGAGGGCTTGCACACAGCTCGAGTATTTCGTTTTCTCGGCTGACTGCCCTCTGTGATTTTCGTGAAGTCGTGAAACCTTCACGGTCAGCAAGGGCCGAAAAACATCACAGAAGGACCTGCACCATGATCACCCATCTCGCAATCAGCCCTGCATCAGCATGATGGGGAAGAGGGTTTGTAACACACGGCAAGCCTTGTGCTCATGGAGTCACCGGCAGATGAGGCTGAGGCGCTTTTCGGGCTCATGGCAGGTTCTTCCAGTATCTAGGCAAGTCACGATGGCCCTGATTCAGGCCCGAAGTTCAAGGCGGGAGAAGAGTTTGAGCTACACGGGGAGGAGATGGTCTCATGGCTGGGACATTGATGGCCATCCGTACCTGGACACTTCTTCACAGTTCCTGCACCTGAGTAAGCCGCAGCCTGCAGTAGCTGCACGTGCCCCGGCCTGGGCGCCAAGCTACCCGTACCCACGAGCTTTGCGAGGTCCGAGGTCTGCGTTGCAGGAGCCCACGTTTGAGGGAACGAAGCGCGAGCCGGGCACCGGTAGCTTGGTGGAGGCGATGGAGACGGCTGCGGCCGCGGCATCTGCTCCGAGTGCTTTGCCCGAAGACCTGCTGCATTCGCTGGATGACTTGTCAGCAGCTCTGGGGAGCCTTGACCAGCCAGGCATGCTGCCTTCTTGTGTAGCTGTGCGCTGAAGGACGTCCCTGGTAGAACTAGGACCATGCAGTTCCTGCCAGGTGTTCTGGCTGCCCTTCAGAAGCTCAAAACATTTCACTTCGAGGAAGAGAGGCTGATGGCGAGTCGGGCTAAAGACCTATTGGACGCATACACCGGAAGGCGAAGTCCACCTCCTTGCCAGAGCTGGAAACTTCGAGCTCTGGAGAAAGAAATCTACAAACGCTTTCGGGAGGTCTGCGCGAAAAACCCAGAAGGCATTCAGCACTTCATCGAGAAGGGCCTTCCTGCTCAGCTTCTCTCAATCCTGGAGCCGTATCGCTTGGCGAGGCAGGCTGCGGACATTTCAGCTCCTCTGGCCAAGCAGGGTCCAAAGCCGAAACTCAATGTTGCCACGACTACTACGACTGGTACAAGTAACGCCGCAGCTTCGGCGACTCACCGTGCAGTCGTCCCTGCTAGGATTGGTGCATCGGAGGCAAAGCTTTCGAGTGCAGCTCTGCAGCTGCCGTGGTCGTCAGAAGAATGCTGGGAGAGGCGCTGGGAGCAAGAATCTCGGTTGAACCCTGAGCAGATTGCATAAGCGCAGGCAGCTGCCCAGCAGGCGTTCTTGTCTACGAAAGTCGAACGAGGTTTTCAACCGTGAGCCGTCTCAATTGACCAAGGATCTTGTCTGGCATCCAGGGATCCTCTATGCAGCGCACCAAGCTCTGCCCCAACAGAGATAGAGACGGCGCTCAAGCTCTGCAGTGGCACGGCTCCCTTTCCCAAAGCGCAGTCTCGGCGCGAAAGCAAGGACCAGCTGGATCGGAGGACCCCTCATCTCGAAGACTGATTAGACATGGACATGACCGCGGATTGCCAGGTGTTTCACGATAACGAGAATCACGAGCCGGAACAAGGTACGATGAGGACACGAGGCTGCTGCATCGCATCTTTGCGGTAAAAAGTGGCTGTCACCAGTGGTCCTAAGCATCCTGGGTGGTGTTTGGCTCCGGATCAGTCGCACAGGACAAGGCAAGCACTGAGCGGGACGGCAAAAAAGCGTGCTGCAATGCCCGGACACAATACCGAAAATACTTGGTCGCTTGTGAAATGACCCAGAAAAAGCTTTCAAAAGTGCATCACTTGTATCCATGCAGTGGCTGAGTGGCTGATTTCTGCGTTACGTTACATCCTCATTCATGCGTGCATGTATGAGCAAGCATGGATTTCGGCGCTGCTGTTGCCTTTTCCTGGAATCACAGTTTTTACGGTTCAGGGTGGAAGCGTGTCCTATTGGGTGTTGGGGCCGTGAACAGCCAGCCACCACACATTAGGGTTTCGGGTTTTGTTGTGAACAACCCACTGTTTTCTACTGTTCGCTGATCGTATAAACGACTGGAGGCTGATTGATCGCGCGCCTTTTTTTCAACATGATTCGCCACGTTGGACTTGTGGCGCCGTTTCTGCTTGTTGCGATTGAGTTGTGACGAGGGTCGTTTGTCAAGACACCAGTTGGCTTGAATTTATGACGTGACGTTTCATTGCCGAGCGCAACAGGGCTTTCATGTAATTTGTGATCCTCGGAAAGCAATCTCAAGTGTTCCAATGCAGACGCCAGAAGCACGTGGTAAGCAAAGTGTGGGCAAGATGTAGCGGTAAAGTCGAAGCGGTTCTTTCTCGTCGTTTCAGCCATGGACGCTGCGGAGACTTTGGGCCTGGTCGAGAGTTGGACCGAATGGGACCAGCTCCGTGAAGTGTGGGTGGGATCTTTGGACACTCGACCAGCTACCTTTGTTTCAAGCGGTTCCTTTTTTCGTTGAACAGAAAGCCATAAGCCATGTGTAAGCTCTCGCTGAGGAGTACAAGTCGCTGACACCACCGGAGGCAGTGTCGGATCTTTCCGGGATGAGGATAAGCCAAGAGCTGTGGTTTTGCAGTGCCAGGAGCCAGCCGTCGCAAGAAAGGTGGCCTGCTACCAGAAGTACAACTGGCCCCTGAGGGATGGTTTCGCCACAGATGCCGAGTGCCTGGCGGAGGCAGCGACAGCCTTCACCACACACATGTTGAGGCCCTTTTCTAGCGGAATATGCCATTGGATTTGGTCGCGCCAGGCCAAAAGACAACTGGACAACTATGTGAAGGCGTGCATGAGTAAGTAATCATTGGTAGCTATCGGACTCAAGTTGACAAAATGCAAGGCTGGATCCAGTTTTTTCATGTCCTACCGACCTACTGGCACAGAACATGATCTGGAGGTCTTGAAGCAAGAGGGCATCATCGTACAAAGGCCCAGGCCGTTCGAGACACAGAAGGCGATCCAGACCCCGATGTGGTCCATCGACAGGAGCCTTCAAACAGCCATGTCATAAGCCATGTATTGAGGCAGTGTCTGCAAGGAGCAGTCCGTCTAGAATTGCAAACGAAGTGAAGGAACCGCCCCCAATTTTCTGAGTCTGCTACCCTCTCACCCCCAAGCACAGCCTGCAACACCGTCGCCGTGTCACCTGCACGACCCACTTGCCCGTTCTGGATGCAGGCCAAAGCTAAGTTTCACGGTTCAATGAGTTGAGCCTCGCATCCAGTAAAGAGTTAGGTTAGTGCACGTGAGGTTTCGGGCTGGGCCAGGGACGAAAATTTATGGTTCAGGATTTACTCGATTCAAGAGTTTGGGTATTGCAATTTAGCATCGCGAATGTCCCGCGTTATTGGGACAGCTTCGGCTGCACTCATAGCTTGCATCTTTCAACGCGCGCTCTGAGCAGTATTTACAGCGGTTCGCCGTGTTTCTCTAACAATTTTCGACGCCCCGGAGCGTCAGCTGCACCCCTTGGTCGGCCGACGGGTGCCCGGTACACACGTCTTGTCACGGTCGTTTCGCGCTTTTTGGCCACGCCCGCCCGGGCCACCTGATGCCCATGATGCTATGATGCAGGCCCCCCGCAATATCATGGCTGACAATCGTTTGATACCGGTTTCCTGCAAAGCGCCAACTGGCGCCAACCACAAATCTTGAAACGAAAGTAAGACGCCATTCAAAACCATTGCAACACCACCCAAACCCACCCAACCCACTCCAAGCCCTGTCAGCCGTGGCAAACCAGCTTCAACCCCGCTTTGGGGTTTATCATTATTAAGCCCACTACAGTGAGTAAACCCGGAAGTGAGCGGCATGCCGTGGCTAATAATATTATGCTACCGGTTTTCTGCAGAACGTCAATCACAAAAATTGAATCGAAATTAGCACGCAATTACACCCAAAATCCCCCCCCCTCCCCTCCCCAACACACACCCAAAACCCACCCAAACCCACCCAATCCATTCCAACCAAGCCCTGGCAGGCGTGGCAAACCACTTCGCCCCCGTGTTGGGGCTTATCTCTCCTTCCCTGCCCCAAGTTCGTGTGACATGACCCTGCGCTTTCCTTTGTCTCCAGCTGGTTTGCAGCAATGGTTTGCTGACACTGTTCCGGGTTCAGGAACTGTAGCCGTCGGATTCAGGGTTCAGGGGTTAGGGCTTATGTAGGCAGCTGTAGAGTTTCGATTCGACTTCAGGGTGAAGGTTAAGGGCAATTGAGCTTGCTGATGCGAGCCAGGATGGGTGGTTTCACCTGTCCCCGAGACTTGTTCTTCGTGGCTGGCAAGCAGGTGATTGAGGCTCCGGGTCCGAGATGCTGTGGTTTAGCCGTTCAGTGCTTTCAGTTTGGGCTGGGGTTGCAAGGCACCGATGAGCTGGCGCAGCCGCTACTTCGAGCACCTGGCATGGAGGGACTTGCTGATGAGTCCAGGCCCTAGAGCTTGCACGACGGAAATGACGAGCAACAGGCACAGAGCGTGATCTGCGTATATCTTGGGCTATGTAAGTTGGCACTGCCTGCCAGGCTACTACCGGTCAGACCCCAGGATGCGATGGTCAGCTGCTCCGAAGCCCATGCTCTTGGACGAGAGCTTTGGTGGTGATGGTGAGGCCCGCATCTTTCAGTTTAGGTCCTCACACATACATTGCTTTCCGTCTTGCCTCAGAAGCTTGAATTCTTGGCTTGTGTTGGAGCGACAGCAAACCGTCTGCATGTGCCCCAATGTTGCTGGAGGAGCGCACTATTCGGAACTCGGAGATTTTCTTCGATGCTGCTGATTCCAGGCGCTTCGGAAAGGATCTTGCCTGAATTGCTCCCGGAGTGTTTTCGGAAGTCATGCGCTCGAAGCTTGTTTGCAGCTTGCGAAGGACGTGTTCTTCCAGAGTGCGCACACCGCCAACGACCTAGGCCTCCGATCAAAGCGAAAGGGGCTTTGCGAGCAAGCTTCCAAGCTTCCGACGGGCCACGATTGAGATGCATTGCCGCACAGCAGGGCGAGAGTGGGTGCGCCGGGAGCTTGCTGCTCAAGGCACCCGCGTTCAGGACTGCCAACAAACCCCTCAAGTTGTAGTTAGACCTGGAGCTTCGAGGACTTCCATTTCGAGAGTCACTTCCACTTCTCCCACATCGACGCGCGGCTGACCCCCGTGGATGAAGGCCTCTGCCTCTTCAGCGGCATGGACCGGCCGACTCCGGAGCCTGAGACTGCAGAGAGGAAGGCAACTCATTTGGGGGTTCCTGGTTGCTTGTGGTGAGCGTGACGAGTGGCTTTGGCGTGTCTCGCTCTTTCTGTTTTTGGTTTTTGGGCATCCATCATGGTTGCAGGTGCTACGTTGCGGGTCTGTAGCAAAATATACAACTCATAGCAGGAACCAGAACCGTCTTCGCAGTGACTGCTTCAGAAGTAGCGTAAAGCGAACAGGCCAGTTGCAAGAGTGAAAACTAACAGTTAGCCGTGACCGGATCTTTGCCCGCTTGTGCTCGAGCTTCTGCTGTCCCAGCGATTGCTTCAGGAGATGATTGAGCTCTTCAAAGAGAGTCTTGGCACAACTCGCCTGGCTCGCACATGCTTGATACAATGCCTCGATCTCGAAGCACAGGGAAACTGTTTGAGATCTTGTCTTTGGAAGCTCAGGAACGAGTGGACCCTCATCGATGGAGGTCCAAGCTTCTGGTTTTCGGGTAGGGGCAAGCTAAAAGCAGAAGTAGGGACCTTAACATTTTTGGGAACCGCCGTTGGTTGCAGGAGTTCGTGAGGATTGCCGGTGCGCCGCCGACCAGTGCGCCCCTGGCATTCATCTGAACGTGCTCACCATTGCACCCAAGGCAGCCGGTCTTTGTCGCAGCACGCGTTTCAGGTTTGCAGTGCTGTTGAAAGCAGGTTTGCATTGTGGAGAAGAATGAGAAGAGTCTCATCAAGCTCTTCGGTGAGGAAGGCACCGGAACTCAGAAAGGTGATGCCAAGACTGACGGCATGCAGCTTTTCCGGGAGGTGTGGATGTCATTCCGATCGAGTTCTCAGCCTGCTACCCCTTTGGCGGTGCTTTGAACTGCTACACTTTGGACATCCACAGGCAGTGTCGAACATGTCGAACGAAGGCTTCAGTCCTACAGATTTCTTGCGGTAAATCTCTTTGGAGGCAGGGCCCGGCCCAGAAGTCCTACTTCCCTTCGCTGGACGTGGCCGCCGAGAGGCTGGAGGCAGGCTCATGTTGGTCATGGCCGCTTCGGGTAGTTGGCATGGGGAGTTGTGCTGAGTGCACTGAGGCGAAGCAGCTTCTCCGACAGTGCTCCTAATGGGCGAGGTGGCGAGGGGATGCGAGGGGCGCCTTGCCGCCTGGCATCTCAGCTGTGGTGTTGAGGTGCTGTTTGTTTCTCACTCTGCCCTCTCAGTGAGGATGAAGAGTGTAGCGAAGCATTTGCTTGTTCACGTGCGGGGCTGTTGAGGAGCGGTCCCATTTTCCGATGTACAAGAACCGACTCATGTAGAGTTGTGACGCCCACTGTGAGTCAGGGTGTGCGCCAGGAGCTATTTTGATGATTATCTTATGGTTTTCTTATGGTTCATGATGTTTTCCCGTTTGCGGTTTTGGTACGGTTCTGGTTGCAATTTCAATACTACGGCTACCCGGGAAAGCACGGCTCGGAAAGCAGCTTGGCTGCAAGTCCGAAAATCATATCAAAAAACATAGCAAACACATCAAAACCAGCCTGAAGGAGGCTGGAGACGATCGAAATCGTATCAAGATCGTATCGAAATCGTATCGAAATCGTAAACCATCAGAGAATCGAAGCCGGAAGGATTCCTGAAATCATATCAGTCAGAATCGTATCGAAATCGTACAAAACGGTATTCCTGGAAACGGCAGTTTCCCGACACTCTGGGCGTCACAAATGTGGAGTGTAGAGCTTTTGCCTGGAATCGATTGCCCAAGAGCGGCAAAGAAGAGTTTACTGCTTTGCTGTCACTCTCTGTCACGGCCAGTGCATTGCAAGGGGAGCTTGCAGTGAAGTCATTCTTTCCTGCAGCTGATCATACAAGTCTGTGCAGCAGTATGTGAAAACGAGGCTACGCCACGAGCAACTGCGCATTCTTGTGCATGCGATGCAGCATTAGCCGGCACCGACGTGCATAATTTCAACCCTTCGTCGCACATTTTATCATCATTGAGACAAAACTGCTTCCGTTAGAGCAGTCGCAATGTGAATTGAGCTATAGCTTACAATCACATGCCGCCCCAGAACAAGCGCCATGGACGGAAAGCGAATCCTTACAATGCGTGCCCTGGCCCTTTCTCGTCCTGTTGTGGGAGAGGGAAGGCGTAGTGGAAGGCAATATGGACCCTCAGGTCAACAGCAGCTGTATCAATCGCAAGGGATAAGTAAGGTTGGCCCTTGCGGAGCAGTGCAGCTGGTTTTGGCATCGTATGAATGGTATGGTTTCGTGTGGAGACTTTGCCAATGCGTAAGGCTCTTTACAATCAGATGCGACTGCACTGACTAGAATGAGTCTTTGTCTTTGTTCTGCTCGTGAAGGTATGTGCAAAGGGACCGGCAGAAGAAATACTACGAACGGCAGAAGACCCATGCGCGCTTCAAGCGTCTCCAGCGCTACGAGGATGACGACGATGCTTTTGGCTGGAACGGCGTCAGGCTTGTCGCGCGTTCCGATTTGCCGCATGAGTGACCTGCTGACCGCAGGAGCGCAATCAGACGGTGCCGTTGGAGCGACAGGCGCTGCTCGAGCGCGTCCTGGCCGAGGTGGAAGTTCTGTTCAAACACACCGTCTGCAAGATTTGAAGCTGGATATGTTGAAAGAATTTCAGGAACTCGTCTGGGCTCCTGACCCTTAGAGCCTTGCTGATTCTGGGCCTGTGCAGGGGGCCGACGCCGTGGAAGCTGACTATGTTGCTTGCTCGCAGCCAGAGGTTTGGGGTCTGTTTTCCTTTCTTTAATGGCAGTTGCTTTGGGCTCGAAGTTCGGCCCTCTGCTAGTAGAGTGGGGGGAACATGGTATGGAGTGCCAAGGGACTCCTTGTTCGAAGATGCAAGGTCTTCATCATTGTTCGAGGCTAATTCCGCTGATGCGAGACATGCCATATGCTGGGGGTAAATAACGACTATAGGCGGAAACATATGTGTGGAGCTGGGTATCGCACTTTAGCACCACGCAAAGTCAAGCAATTGTGCTTTTGTGCCATGGACCGTCGCACCAGGCCGAACTCCGAGTCCCTCCCAGCCCCCAGAAAGTTTTCCATTCTTAGCCATTCTCTTGTCAAGTTGTTCTGAAAGGAAATACTACGACCTTGAGAGGTATGTGCCGTTAACAGTTACCGTTGCATGAAACAAAATCACGATGTGTGTATGAAAAAATGATCACGTGACAGCAGTTGATGGTGCTTACAGGCACACACTCTTACAGACTTGTTCCCACGAGCTCGTAGCCGATGACCTTTGCAGTGCTTATGTACCGCCATGCTGTGCAAGAGTCACAACGAAAGCCAACGTGGGCGCAGCAACGCCGTGGGACTTCTGTGCACTTTGAGGAGCGGCGCCTGGAGCTGACCTACGGTAGCCCACAAGGCGGTGCTTGAGCTTCCGCTGCACTTCCACTCTCATTGCTGTACCCACTTCAGTCATGTTTGACTTTGTGTCGACAGGGTGCCTTTGTGGGACGGCATCTATTGGCCCTTGATCGAAAAGTAAGGGCATCGTCCGCCAAGATATGTTGTGGTATGTTGTGGCCTCATGTCCGACTCAAAACTTATCTCCCAAGCCGTCAGGGCCACCCACTCGTGGGCCTGACCCAGTCCAGCTGTCCAATCCACCGATTGTCAATCGAAGCGACTAAGTTTTTTGACAAGAGCCCAGGAGGTTTTAGAGGCGTTTCTCGGCCTTGATTCTTCCTCTTGCAGGTAGCAAGGCCTCCAACAAAGCCGAGGCGAGTTGGGCACGTCGTAAGGCTAGGGGTGATCAAGATCGTCCTATTCAGGGTTTAGATTGCGGCTGTCAGCTTTGTGAAACTCCAGCTTCTCGGAGCGTGTCTTCCCAAGCTGACCATGCACTCTTCTTTGTGCAACTGATGGCTAGCTTCGCAGTGGTCTTTCAATTTCAGGAGGCAGAGAGCAAGCCGCCACGGACAAAGAAACTAAAGCGGCAGAGGACGGGGTTTGAGTTTGCAAATGGTCTCTACCGGATATTTTTGCTGTACATACCTGAGTCTTGGTATCCAGGTCTGAAGCCTGCAAGGCAGGTTTGTGTAGGAAGTCCGATTGTGAAGTTGCCTTTTTGCTGGATGCTCCGAGTGCCAGGCAGGGGTACATGGCTTGAGAGAAGTGTCGCATAGATCGCAGAGTGGTGAGTGCAAGCCAGAAGCCTTTTATGTAGACGAGCGAAGGATCCGAGGACATAGCAAGTAGGGTCGGGTCTGAGTGAAAGGGAAGCTTTAAAGTGGGAGTTGTAACGGACATGTTAACCATTCTTACCGTAGATGCATAGTCCAGCGACGACATCGCCTAAGTCTCCGACGCCAGTTCCTAACAGGAAGACTGCTCGCGCTGCAGCCAGCCAGGAAGCAGCAGCAGATCCTGCAGGCATCTTTCATGAATTCAGCTGATGCTGGTTCTTCCGGGACTCCGAATCCTTATTCTATGGATCTTGCAGGCCCAACCGCAACCGCCCCGTCGGAGCAATCACGGCGTGGGCGAGGCAGCAGTGCCATGGTCTCGATGACCGTGGTGATGCACCATTTTTTCCAGCTCTGTGTGAATGTCTCACTTGCTGCGGTTGCGAACAAGGCAAGTAGCCAGAACAGTTTGCCTGCAGTGTTTGGGCCCAGGCTTCTTGCAGTGATTCGTCAAACACAGTGCCAGGCCGCAACAAAGACAGAAAGGCGACGGACCTGCCCTCAGCAACATTGCAACTGAGACAGTCGGTTGGGAGTTCGCCTGTAGGGAGTCGCGAAATGCCTGAGGTTCCCGACCGCTTTCAGAAGTCCTTGGACCCAGCTCTCGCAACTCGCAGGGTCTGCATCTGCGTCCTGGCATGTCCTTTCCACGCTCGCCTCCCAGGGCACGCCGGGACTTCGAGGCCGCCGAGGCTGCCAAGGCCGCGGCCCAGGCAGCACGGGAGGAGGAGCAAAGGGGCCCGGCCTTGCCGACTTCGCGGGGCGTAAGGCGCTTGTGTTTCGGACTACCGAAATCTGAAGCGCTCCTACTTTCGGTCTGCGCTTCGAGGCTTCAGTCTTTCTGTAAACCTCTTGGAAGTCAGAGCCCTGTGAGATCGCTCCAGGAGTTCCGCCAAAGGAACCGCAAGAGAAAGCAGCTCCTTGGTATCCAAAGCCCAGCGCCACCGAACTCTCAGGGCTGAGTGCTTTGAGGGACTTGCCGGGGCTGCTAGGACGACAACCCAGAATCAGCGCGCGAGAGGCATGCGCAAGGACCACGTTGCGGCAGCAGCCAAGGACTGCCAAGGAGCGTGCCCGGCCCTCGGCCCTCGGAGAGCCGCCCTCCAACGGGTGATGTGCGCAGGGCAGGGCCCCGGTGATTTCTTTACGACGAGGGCTTGCTGGGTTCCTTCGGACCAGGCCGTCACTGGCAAGCTGCTCGCGCGGCGCAATGCCAAAGGTCAGCCGTCGATGCAGAGCCGCCCGGCCAAAATTTTCTGGCTTCGAGGCAGTAGACTCTCACATGGCTGTGTGTCAGCTTCCGAAGATGGTGTTCTCGCATTCTAAGTCTTGCTTGGCTTCCGTTGCACAGTTAATCTGGGATAGATCGGCGTAGGTCATCCACTCTCCCTTGATGGCTCGCTCAAGGCATGCTCGAGCTGGTGACAGCCAAGCTGGAGGGAGCGCCGAAGGTTGAACGCCAGGGCTTGACAAACATACATGCATAATACATGCATACCATACCCTCTCCGTTGCTGCAGGAATATTTTTGGTTTGCAATTTTCCATTTCAGTCTCTCTGCAGATTTTAAAGGTTTGCGGTTAAACTCTGTTACTGCGAAATCCTTGCAGGGAGAGTGCCCCAGCTGGTTTGTGGGTTGAGGCTTGCCACTCCCCCACAGCTCACTCTTAAGAGAGGTTACGGGTTAAGGGCCCGGCTTTTTCCACTCCCAGCTCATTTTCAGGTTAGGGTGTTCGACATTTCCCCATGCAACAAAAACTATGGGGTTTCATTATGTGCCACTCCCCATTGCTTTAAGGTTGGAATGCATACGCACATGCATACACGTGCAGACGTTCGGTATGTTACTGTTTGACACTTGGTGAGTGTATATCTGGCTTGTAAGGCTTTTGCTGTTATTGGGGCGGTTACTAGTAAGACAACCCTACTTCATACTACACGTATGTGTTTGTGTGTATATGTAAATATCTACACGCATGCATTCGTGCATGTAGAGAAATAGAAATACACGAGCACCTACACAAACCTAAACGCGCTTCACTAAGCATTGTATATGCAGTTACATACAGGGCTATGTATGTCGTAAGCCGTCACTGAGGCCTAGATTCGCGATGCCGGGGAATGCTTGCAGGAATTTTGAATCCGGGACCCCGGTCCTGGATGAAATGCAATCGTTCAATTCGATGTCATCCGGGGAATTCTCACAAAGTCCACCGCAAAGTGTTTTAGTGTGGCATTTCCCACGTATCATACGCGAATGGCTTTCAACACTGCGTCGATCTGCAGAATCCCGAGTCCAAGCAGACATCGTTATTTATGCATCGTTTGACAACAGCTCGCCGAAGGAGCGTCGTGAGACGTTGGCCATAAGAGTTCAAGTCAAATTGAAGGGCTGCTCAAACCCTCCATTGCAGGCGGGAGCTCGAAAGCGCCAGCAGTGAGGAGCGATTCTCGCGCATGCGCTGTCCAAAGTTCACGCGGTGTCCGAAAGATGAAGTAACGTAACTGCACGATCTTTTTTTGGCATCAGCTTCGTCGCATGATCCAGGTCTCAGACGTCGACGAAGTAGAGAAGGTCTTTTCAGCATACACTCCGAGACATGTTGGCCCAAGCACATATCCCGCTGTTCTGCAATGCAGGACAGCCCTTGTACATATTGCCTGGTCACCGGATATGGACTCAGTATAGTTTTTGCGGCCTGCCAGCCGCCCTACAAGGCAAGCCGCGTGCTCGGATTCCTCGGTGGGAGCTTGGGCACCCGACCGTGCCGATGTCTGATGGAATTCGATTGAGCAGCGACTGGTGCACACAACAGGTGGATCACATTTTTGACATGTGGGATCGATCTGAGGGCAGGCCGCTGACCCTGCAGGTGGCTTCGGTATCACTGACCATTTCCATTTATGCAATGATTGTCCGACGTGCTCTGCAAAGCAATCCAGGTGGCAGATGCGTGATTTTCGTGCCGAAGGTTTCTCTCGCCAGACGAGTGCGCCGCGAATTGAAGAGTCAGAAGCTGCGTGTTTGTCTGATCGGAGCTGGCTCGCCCGAGAGCGATCTTTGGGACGAGATTGTCGTTTGTGTTTCCGCAAGTGCGCATCGCCTGAGTGGACACAAGTTTCTGGTCAAGCTGTTGGACTCTTCTCAGCTTTGCTCGCATGGTCATACTGCACAAATCATGCGACATCAAGTCACAGCCAGCATGAGTGCTGAGTTTTCGCTACACTTGAAAGACGCAGATCCCGATGCTGCCTATACGCTGGCGGAAGCTGTTCAGGATGGACGCGCTCGCAACTTTCAGCCGTACCTCTTGCAAAGAGAAGCTAAAGACTGCTGGAAGTCAAAGCTGGCGAAAACCCTCCAAGCCACCCAGGCCCGGCAAGATCCGGCTCTGCGTCAGGATCGCAGACCCTGTGCCCCACCATTCCTCGTATGGTAGACCAAAGCTTGTGCATCTTTATTCTCGAGCCATCTACGAAAGCTTTTGTGGGACCGGAGAGCCACATTAAGACTTGTGAACCCATGAAGGACTTCACCCTGCCCTCTCCGTCAGGTTCAGGGCGCCAAGGGGACGGCCGCAATCCCAACCCGGACTGCAGAAACAGCAGCACAAACTCAGTTCTAAAAACCTCAGGCTTAGGCTTCGAGGTGAGGCTTACGACGGTCCGATAGGGAGGTAAGAGGTGTGCAGCCTGGGGAACCACTGAACATCAGGGTTGAGGTTAAAGGGATTACTTGCAGTAGGATGCCGGTTGAAGGTTTGAGTTTAAGAAGAGGGCTAGGTCGCGGATCTGGGACCAGGAGCTAGAGTGTGTTTGCCACGGGTGCAGGTGCAGGGTCTCGCCTCTAGAGCTTGGATTCAGGGAAGCCCTGGAGGTCGATGCCGCCTGGGGGCCCGCGTTGGTGGTGCTCCCTTCAGCAGAGGATGCCTCTGCACTCGCGGGGAGTCTCCGGCACTTGGGAGTGGCAGCAGCGGCCGTCCGAGGCAGATTGAAGCGAGGCCAAAGGGCCACCCTGCAACGTGTTGAGAAGGGGCAGATCAAGGTCCTCTGTGTCTCGCACCAGATCTTCGAGAGGTCGGACTTGCCGGCCTTCAACACCCTGGTTCTCGACACCCGTGTCTCTGCAGCACCAATCCTCCGGGCACTTCAGCCAATGCCCGGTGTAGCTGAAATGAAGCTTGTGCATGTGGTGAGCAGCTCTGGGCCTGTATCGTCGCGGAAGTTGCAGCGACCGACGAGCTTCCTGATAGCTCTTTGGGGGGAGAAGTCGAATCCAAGCCCCTGGAAGGTCTTACATGCTGACGGCAGCACTGCTTTATGGACCCCCGAGCCCCGCGGGTGGCTGATAAATTTGTGTGCTTGGTTGCAGTCGGCTGGTCGGAGGCCGAGATATGATGTCAAGGAGGAGCGGTTGCATGCGCACAGGTTCAAGCAAGCGAGGAAGCACTGGCTTAGAAACACTCTCAATGCGGCAGAGAAGGAGCTGATAAGGAGTGCGTACCCCGGGCTTGCTGTGGAGAAGCTGCCGAATCGTATGTCATGGCTGGCGCTACAAGACCTCTGTGCGTGGATGTCAACTCATCAGCGACGCCCCCAACAGCTCAGTGAGGATGTGGTCGAACGAAGGCAGAGCCTCAGGCTGTCGAGAACTCTCAAACGTCTGCGTGAGGGCAAACTGAGCAAGGCCGAGTCAGAACTGTTGCGGGATGCTTTGCAGAACACAGTGCGGCCGTGGCTGCCGATCATGGTCGCATGGGTCCGGTTCTACGAACGCCTGCCAAGGTTGTTTGCCAAAGAGCATGATGAGCGGCTGCAGAACCGGAGGTGGAAACGGGCAAACCGTCTGCTCTCCATGAATGTGCTGACCCAGGCAGAGAGGAACCTGATGCTGTCTTGCCTGAGCTGGAAGCGAGAGCTTTCTGAAAGGCCACGAGCCTGCTTACTTGGCCTTCGGGCCTGGATTTTCACGCACGCACGCCGACCGCGGGACGGTGTGCTGCGCGATGCTGAGGAAAGGCGTCAGGCGCTCCGATGGAAGACGGCTTTCAAGCAGATGTCCAACATGGACCTGTCGGAAAGTGAAATTTCCTTGCTGGAATATTGTCTGGAGATTCTTGACACGCATGAGGATGGCATGCCGCAGCGCGCGGCTTTGGAGTGATAGACTGTCCAAAGATTCCCCGGTCGCTCGCCGAAGCTGTGAGGCCGGGCATAGGTATTTCGACAGCACCTATCTGCAACGCGCAAGGGTGCAGTTTTCCACGAGACCCTTCGGCGACGAGACATCCAGAAGATGTGATGCAAAGGCATGCCCAGGACCACATTTCAAATCGAGCCCTCCAGTTTCAAGACTCTCCAACTCTGGGCTTCTCAGCTTGCTTGGCTTACACCACCTTTGGTGGACTTCGCTTATCACAATGACGACAGCTAGAGTCAGCTAGAAACCAGGCGGCCTCAACTAACTTCAGTCCTGCATCCACTTCAGGTCTTTCGTACCACCGATATCCCACATTTCATAATCATTAAATCATTAAGCTCAGAAAGTCAAGAGATTGAGAAAGGGATCAGGGATACCGGCACACGGCTCCCGTTAGAAGAAGCAGGCGCAGAGAACCCGCTACGAAAGACTTCTCTCAACCGTGCTATTCAGCTGCGCCTTGAAGCGGATGGGTGATGACGGCCGGTCTTCCGACCTCCAGGCCCCAGCTCTGAAGGGCTGAATGAAGGAAGACCTCGAAAGGCTCTTAAAAAATGCGAAGTGGCCTTTGATCAGGTAGGGAGCCGAGTCTTCGTCCACGGCCTCGCTTCGGAAGCCGGCAGCCCGCTGAACTTTCGCTGTGGCGAGGCCTGGGGCGGGACTCTGCAGTGCGGCTCAGAGGAATGCCAGGGAACTCGACGGTTCCTTCCCGTCGCCCACAACTCTTGTCCGTTTCCTCCTGTGTGACTTGCGAATTCAACCTTCACAGTCTGAAGGGAAGCAGAGCTGCAGCACTGGCCGGCGCATAAACCTTCGCCCTCAAAGCCATGCGAAGGTGGTCAAAGCCCAGGAAGATGGTCGGCTCGGTGTGCGAGTGACCGGTGTTGAAGGCCAGGGTGGAGCAAAAGCGAGTCCATGTCTGAAGGTGTTTTGTGCAGTTTTTCACCCCCTTGATAAGTGCAGATACAAACTTACCGGATGTGTAAGGAAGGGGCAGCAGAGGGGATCCACACGTGCCGCTAATTTGCTGGCGGGTTGAGATGTTCCACGGCTGTGATGCGCCGCTGCTTGGGTGAATCAGATTTTCAGGGATGAGTTTCTGCTTCCATTTCGCAAAGCATTCGCGCAGAACTTGGGCCCAGACCCAGCATGACTGCTTTGATGGACTGCCATGTAGTCTGGGCAAGGTTAATTTGCATGCCAAGGTCGGCAGGTGCGCCGAAGCTCATCAAGTCACTGGCTCGGCACCAGCGTGCTGCTAGAATAAATAAATAAACAAATAAAAAAAAATATATATATACATACATAAATAACATACATACATACATACATACATACATACATGCATACATGCATACATACATACATACATACATACATACACACACACACGTACACATGATATGCTTCTCCCCTCATACACCTCATGTTTAGGATAGCATAAGTATCACATGTGATCAACTCCTCACCTGCATGTATTGACTCATAGGTTTTCTTGAGTGATGCACCATCGCACATCAAGACAGCATATACGTGGTCTGGCACCCTCTGCCGTTTGTTCGTTGGAGGATTCAGTAAATGACTACTTTCTGAAGCAATGACTCAAGCATGCACGACAAAGTCCTAACAAGTTTTGGAAATGCCAGAACCCACACCCTTCATCCACAAGCAAGACATTTCTGAAGATGTTTGGCGTTGTTGCTTGTTTAGACTGTCTCGAGAAGTATGCTACTTTCGAGTTTCCGGCTTTGCGTTTTTCGGCTGCTGGCGTACTGGCGAAATACCCTGTCTGCATGTATATACATATATATACACATGCACACACATGTAAGTAATGTGTATATATACATACAAATACGAATACATATGTTTGTTATAGATATGTCACAAGCATATACATACATGTACATACACACACACACATATATATATATATGTATATATATGTATATAGATAGATAAATATAACATACGTACGTATATACGATCACAACTGCATGTGAGGGGCATCCGGTGCGGCAGTGGTGCGTTCATCTGCGCTACTCCGCGAGTGTCCATATGCAGTAGAGCCCAGATCTTCTCACGCGCGATCTTTCTCCTTCTTATGTGTCTTGCGCTGTAGACCAGCTGTCAACAGAAACCGATCTGTTGCATTCAAGGTTGTTGGCCGAAGACTGAATCTAAGAGCCTCAAGCTTGTGATCGTGGGGTCGTTTGGCACTCCTTCAATCGTCGCTGTTGCCGAGAGCACCTGACCTGTTTTGTAAGGCGGATGAATCTTCTCAGCGCCAGTCGGACAGAGGACCGCTAGCTCTTTTGACCGGGTTGTTTTGCAAGACGTGCGTGCCAGTGCCAGTTCCACCTTTGTACTGCATGGCTGCAGCGAAAGTTCGACAGTTTTCTCTTTGCTGGTCTTTCGTCATGACAGAAGTTGGTGTGGACATGTGGGGACTGTATGTGCCCGTTCCAGCGCAGCCCAGTTCAAAACCGGGGCAAGTTTGGCTGCGAAGCTGTGATTGAAGCGACCTTTAGGCCCCGAGGTCATGCAGATGTTTCGTGCCCTGATACTCTGGAGCCTAGCAGCAGCAGGCACTTGTGAAGAGGCTTTGGTCGCCTACACCTTCGCAGGGCGTGGTAGTTCGGACGCCATCCAGGCAGTCCTGTCGCGTGTGCTCGGTCTAAACCCCACAGAGGTTGTGAAGGCCTTTGACCTCAAAATCGTCGCGAACTGCAGCCGAGTGCCCCCGTCGGCAAGAACTGAGCTTTGTTTCGAACTGAGCGATGCAGAAGACGGGCGGATCCGCATCGCAGCTACAAGTGGCCCGGAGTTGGCCTATGGTGCCAGCTGGTATTTGCGTACACGCTGCAACATGTCCTTTTCCTGGAATCGCACGGGTGGAAACCAGGTATCCGTGCCAAAGTCGTGGCCAGGAGTGGGTGGGAAGATCATTAAATACCGCAAGGTACCCATGAGTTACTTCAACAATGTCGTGACATTCAGCTACAGCTACACATGGTACTCCTTCAAGGACTGGGAAGCTTGGCTTGATTGGGCCGTTCTGAGCGGGGTGAACTTGGTAATCGCATACACAGGACAGGAGGAGATTTACCGTAAGACTTTCAACACCTTTGGAGTGAACAACTCGGAGTTTGCATCCTGGAGCAACGGTGCCGCTTGGCTGGCCTGGAGTCGGGGCCAGTCCATGCACGGCATCGGTAGCAGCTGCGGAGACGGCTGCATGCCCCTACCTTTCAGCTGGATGACTGGGCAGTGGGAGCTCCAGAAAGAGATCCTTCGCCGCAGCCGCAGTCTCGGTTTGGTCTCTGTCCTTCCCAGCTTCCAGGGCAACATCCCGCCCATCTTCCGGCAGCTCTACCCGCAGGCCAACATCAGCAAGACCGGGGCTGCTTGGCTGGACGACTTGGATCCCCTCTTCGGGAAGATTCAGCAGCGCTACATGGAGATCATGATCAAGGACTGGGGCACAGACCACTGGTACGAGACGGACGGGTATTTCAACCAGAACCAAGGTCCCTGGGCACGTTCGCACACTGAGGGACGTCCTTGGCAGCGCTCAGAAGACGTCCCCGCAGATCCTGATGCATATGCCCACGCCCAGGCGGCATACCAGTCCATGAGCCTTGGTTGTTTCGCATCGTGTTTCCTTGTGTTAGCTTTCGCGATGCTGCGCAGACCTCTGCACGGTCGGGATGCTTAGGAGCAAGGTGGACCCAGAGGCTGTTTGGCTCTACCAGGGCTGGATTTGGCGTGACTGGGGAGAAGATAAGCTGCCCTTCATGAAGGGCTTCGTGTCGGCGGTGCCGCCCAAGCATTTTGTGATGTTGGACATGTTCGACGAGGCCGATCCGGAATGGAACAAGTTCAATAACTTCGGCTATTTCGGAACTCCGTTCATTTGGTCGGTCCTGCACAATTTTGGTGGTAACACAGGAATGTGGGGAAGCATTCCTACTTTGACCGCGGTCTTTGCTCAGTATGTTTTCTGTTTCGCTTTCTCCGGAACATGGTTGAGTCTGCATCCCCCACAGATTCAGCATGCTGACTGAGGAATTCTGAGTTTTCAGACGCCTTCCAGCACACAGCCAGTGTCGCAGGAACGGGTGCTGCACCAGAGGGGATTGACCAGAATCTCGGACTGGGGCAAAGGTTTGCAGGTAGGGTTGTCTTTGGTGCATTGCAAGCATGACCTGAAACGTGGCATGCCGAGAGCGAGAACGAATTCGGTACCATTTCGTCACTGGTGTTGGTGCCAAGATGGACAAAGGTAGATCATCATCATCCGAGCCCTGACCTCAATCATTGACATCTAGCCTGGAAAAAACACCCTACCACTGGACACACGAGACTGAGGTAGCCAGGAGCGGATCAAACCGATTCAACCCACAACCTGAATCACACTGATGCTTCTGCAGATTGCATCCACATCTTGTGGCGAGTTTTTTGTGAAGATTGTCCTTCTTTCTTGTGCAGGAGGGTGTTCTCACGTAGCAGTCCGAATGGATGCTCTTTAATCGCTGCATCTTGATCGCTTTAAACAAGACCCACTCGAGGAACCCCTTCTACTACAGCTTCTTGACGGACCTTCCGTGGCAGACTGGCCCCATCGACCTGCAGCAGTGGGCGGCGACCTGGACACAGCAGCGCTACGGCCGTAGTTCGGTTGACGCGGAGGAGGCGCAACTGTGGACGGGGAGTGGCAATAGTTGTAATCGGAAGTCGCAAGTGTTACAAGTACTGCAACCGTCATGGCATCATGTATGCATCGGGAGTACAAGATACAATGTTACTGTTGTCGCTAGTGGCAACACCGATGCTGTAGCAGCATTCGCAGCAGTTGTAGTAATTCAGTAATTCCGGGTAGGGCGGAAGGTTTCATTCAAGCCTTCTCCAAAGAGGCCGAGCGATCTTTTTTAACACTTGCAGTTGCTGAATGATTGCCACAAGAATTGCGAGGCTTTTCGGCTGCTGCTAGGGTCTGTCTACGGCAATGAGACGAATTCTCGGGCGATTCGGAGTCGCGGCGGCTTCCTTGCCGAGAAGAACGCCGATGGCCTCACAGCGCTGGCCATGGGAGGAGGCTTCAAAGCAACAGAAATATTATAGTATATATATGATATGATATAGTTATATTATACACTATATAGGATTTTTTTATACATTGTATTACATAGTATATTATGTACAATTATATTATATATCTTATATTTGTCTTATATATTATATATTATATGTTATACTATATACGTTATATTACGTATTACATATTTCATATTACATATTATATATCATATATCACATATTTTATATTATATATTTTATATTATATACTTTTTATGATATATATATATTATATGTTATGTCTTACATATTAGATATTCGATATTATATATTATACACTATATACTATATTTTGTATGTTATATATCATATATTGTTTATATTTACTATTCATTATATTATATATGTATATATATATATATTACACATTATATGTTATATGCTATATATTATATATTACATATTATAGTCTTGAGGGGAGGGGCGGGGGGGAGCAAATTAGGGGCACAAGTCACCAACCAGAGGAAGGTGGTGAGTGGTGGTTCTGGTGATGATAGTGATAGTAGTGGTCATACCAGTGGTGCTGGTGAAGCAGTGGTGGTGGTGGAAGTAGTTCTGCTAGAGATAGTTCTAGAGAGAACATGAACAAGATGACACATGAAGACGGCTGCAGTACCGAACGACACCAGCACGAGCACAAACGATACTTATCACAGCGATCACGACACTCACAACTTTCGGACAGTAGCCATAATCAGTGTTACAATCAGAATAAACATCACACGACCATACTCGGTGTACTGACAGCAATGGTGCGGGTAGTGCTATGATAGCAATGGTAGATGTTTCCGATGCACTCGGCCCTTTTGGATGAAGCGCCTGTCGCCGAGGCGAGGCCACACCCCACGAGAGCTGGTACAAGCTGTCAGATGTGGCGCAAGCCTGGGGAAAGCTGAACACAGTGCTTTGGCTCTGCATCACAGAGGGGTCTCCACAAGCTGCAAGCTCCGTCTCCAAGACCAGGCAGCCAAAGCGGGTGTGCCCGAGACCATGCGATACGACCTGGTCAATCTGGGCCGGGAGGCCGCGGTTGCGTCGAATAAGGAGATGTCTCCAAATGCCGTGAGCAGCCAATGCCAGGTTTTGGGCAAGGTCTCCAACCGCTTCTTCGCTCAGATGGTAAACGCCACAACCCCTTCTGAGGCGAGGCGGAATCGAGTTGATTTACTTCCAGCATAGACGGCAGGAACTTCCGTGCACATTGCAGGATCCTAAACTCGCATGCCAAAGCTACGCAGCCCATGGGTCCCCACACGCACCACCAGCAACGACATGCTTCTGTGGCCATATATGAGCTGGGACATCTGTTGTCCCTGTGGGGAGGTCAGCGCGGCAGGCCGGAACCTGCTGGCGGTTCTCGCAGACGCCGACCGACTCTCGGCTGCATGCGCCTGGCGCCTCCGCCGAGCATGGATCTGACTGCCGCCGGAGGTCTCCTATGCAGCGACCACGGCTTTCTCGCCAGTGCCCGAATCCGGCCGGGCAGGGTTGCTGCCGTTGTTGCCTGTTATCTTCAGAAAATTTCGAGTGCTTGCAGCTTTTGTGGCACATGCGCAGGAGCGCGAAGTCGTGGGCGGAAGGAAATGCTACGCTGGCGCGGCCGTGCACACACCTAGCCCACGGTAGAAGTAGCCTTTGGGTGCGGATTTTGGTGCAGTTTCGAGGTTCACTGCACACCTGCAGGAGCGCTATTTGGAACTTGCAGCCCGGAGTCTCACGACGGTGTGGACGCCACAAGAGCCGACGCATTGCTGCACTTAGAGAGAGAGAGCGAGGGAGAGAGCAGATGCCTGTGGCGCCTCTGGAGCTGAACCAACGAGGAACTCGAGCTCCATCACAACACTCTGCGACTACGCAAACCGCCAGTGGGCCGGCCAGGCACAGCATCGCTATATAATGTTTTTTTTTTGGGTGCGCCCGACTCTTCACCCTTGGAGAAAAAACTTTGGAAGGTCGGAGGCTTCTACACGCTGAGACACAAGTGCTACATCCGACAGGCGCTAAGACTCCTGCTGGGCGTGTCGGTTCCTGGCTGGGGCAGTCCCAGATTGAGCGGTGAGGAGCCCGCATTCAGATTTCTCAGTCGCTTTTTTTGGAGCACCTTTTCGGCACAAAATCACAATCTGCCAGACTCTGTAAGGCTTGTATAGCCCGCTAGAGTCTAGAGCTGAACTCGAAGGCCCCAACACAAAGAACCCGGAAGCCTGACACTGCGCTTGAGACCCTGAAGCCATGCTCACGACGGAACTTGCTGATGGCCAAGTGCTGCGGCTTGTAAGCTCTGCCTCACAGCAAGCGAAGTCCTTGGTTTTCCGCGTGCACAGGGCTTCTGCGAAGCAGCTGCGAACGTTTGAGCTGGACCCTGCTCTCAAAGCCTTCAACCTCGAAATTGTCGATGACCAAGCGCCTCCGATGAGCTTCGGCCCTCAACCACAGACCTGCCTCAGAATCCAACGCGATCGCTCGGTGGATGGCAAAGGCTTCCGTGGGCCTTGGGCCACCTTTGTCGTTTCTGCGCGTGATGAATCAGGGCCCAGGGGGGTCAGTCTGCGATCGGTCGGCCACGTCGAGGAGCCGGCCTTTCTGGCTGATGGTGGCGAAGACTTCGTGGCTTCTGCATCTTCGGACGACCCAGCCAGCCGCTGGCTCTTCCAGTCGGTTCACGTCCCCAGGCCCTTCGAAGACTTTGACCTCACGCCTCAGCAGTATGAAGCGTTCGCAAGGTGCGGTTTCATGATTCTGAAAGGCGCCGTTCCTACGGAATATGTCAATGGTGCTTTGCGGTACATCAACCACCTGATCGGCCAAGGCCCTGATTCCTGGGTGGTGGACTTGGATTCGCCAACTGAGCCTGGGGAGCCACCAAAGTTGAAGCTGCCGAGCAGCCGTCACCCGTCCATCGAGGCGCTCGTGACACGCACATGTCTTGGAGTTGCCGTCCAGCGCCTTTTGCAGAGTCCTTTTGGAACTGGTGGAGCGCAACTGGCCGTAAGGTTCCCAGTGACCGACCTTCTGGAATCCGTTGATGGGAAGCTCACGGAGGCCGCCTACAAGGTAGTTCACCGGGACGACAGCACAGAGCAGTTCCACATCGACGGGACGGGCAGGGAATCGCCCTTGCCCTTCAGTGTACTGTTGAAAGTTGCGCTGTCAGACCAGACTTCCCAGCATTGCGGCAACTTCACTGTATTTCCAGCATCCCACCGGAACTCTGAGGTCATCCGCTGGTACTTTGGACAGATTTCGGCCACAAAGGGCGTAGGCACACGGGCAGAAGCTGGTGCAGGGCAGCCACCGAAACCACCGAAACCCGCAATCGGGCCACCGCTGCAGCTGCAGCTTGCGCCTGGGGATGCTGTCCTTGCGCACCCTTACTTGTGTCATCGGCCCGGAACGAACACGTCAGCTCACATACGCTACAGCGCGTTTTTCCGCTTCCGCTCCAAAAACTTTGCCAAACATGCTGCGGACCGATCTGCTTTGCTGAGGAACCCCATGCTGGAGTTCCCTTGGTGGGGGGCTGACTGTGCAGAGGGTTCAGCCCTCGAAGAGACTCCCCACAAGACCAAGCAACAGAAGATCGCATGAGCTTGAATTGAAAACCCTGTGCAGATGATTTTCTTTACTGAGTTTTGGACGCTCGGCAAGACTTTGCACTTCCCGACGGGGTGAATTGCCGAATCCCAAATTTAGTGTCTTGGTATGTCTTGATTACTTGGCCCTTTCTTTGGCTGCAAGTCAAGGCTAGGCCAGTTCCTCTGAGCTCAGCTGACGAAGTGTCAGAGGAGAGCTTCTGGCCATCGACTGCTGACCGACGGCGACCGCCAAAAATCCTCCGGATGAGAGAGTACCTGTCATGCTCGTGATGTGTCCTTAAACACCTCTACGTAGACTCTAGCTGAGAGGCCATGGAGGATCTTGGTTCCAAGAGGCCCGTGAACAAGACCGCGCACCTCAGAAGCACAGGACACGTTTCCCACCGGCAATTCCATGCTCCTGCTATCTCGCCACAAGTCTGAGGTTTGATGCTTGTGTTGCAGCTGCCAGCTACGACTGGACCCACGACTTCGGATCAGCAAAGTACCCAATGTGCGAAGAGCCAACAAGCGATCTGGCGGAACCATCTAGACTTGTGAAATCCTCGAAAACCCTGACATGACTTGAGGTGACGTACTGGCCATCAGCCAGGAGCTGTTCGAGAAGTACGGTCGTCCCCAGTCAGAGAGCATCTGGGTCTAGAAGGCCGACGCCTCGCATTAGCCTCGTTTCGAAAGGTGAAGCAACTCGTAGGGGCAGCTACCGTGTCCACGAATGGTTGTTGCCGCGGGGCACGAGTAGACGAGCAGAGAACGACTTGGAGGGGCTAGGATATCGCATTCATGCGAACATTGGAAGATATTGGAACTGAACCTGGGACCTTGTTGCTGTGGTCTCCATGTCAAGTCTATGCTTCGGCTCCTCCAGGAGGGCTTCATTGCACATGTATAGTCGCAAAAGCATTGCCGACCTAAGCGCTGGCGCAAGGGAGCGAAAACGAGAAGGGTCTGCTAAAGAAAAGCCTTAGCTGACCATCCAAGCTGTCAGCTTCCTCACTGCATCACCATGAGAATAACATCTCCGTGGTAAAGTGTTCTGGAAGCACCTGGGCTCGACTTAACTAGGAGGGGGAGCATAGGCATAACCGTATTCCCGAGTCCGCCATTGCAGATCTCTCGAAGCAGTTCGAGTCATTGTGAGATGTTGAAGCTTAACACTGCGAGCCTGCACCCTTTTGAATGCATGGGCGCCGACTGTAAGCAATTGGTAGCATGTGTGTGGACACTTTGGTCATCGAGGGCTCGATTTGGAACTTTCCCCTCTCCGGTCTGCACGAAGCAGGCAACCCCATATGCATCTCGCCAGGAACCCGAAATCCATAGAACTCTCTCTCTCTCAGAAGGACCGGCGGCTGCTGCTGGGCCTCCTGACCCTCAGCCGCTGCTCTGAGCTCCGCACGCTGCGGCCGCTCTGCAGGGAGCAGCTCAATGCGACCCGGCGATCGCTCCGATGGAGATGGGTCGGAATTCGGATTCGTTTGGGACCAAGGACGACAAGGGGCTCATGCTCCTGATCGCCTCCTACATCGCGGAACCACCTGTGTGTCTCTTCCAGTTCGGCGGTTTCATGCGGAAAGTCTGGCCGGAACACTGGTTCCATGTCCGCACAGATGCATTGGGCACGACCTCCAAGCTGGATGCACATCTGGGGTGAGCATGGGCAGTATCATTTGCTCGGTCGGTCTCCAACTCACAGACTTCGCACCCTGTGATGATTGCCAGTTGGTTGTCATTGCTTTTGCCTTTTTACGTTATTTTCCTGGATTTCGCTCTCGCAGCTTTTGGAGGCGCTTTGAGGACCCTGCGCGGCCTTTGCCCTTGGCTCCACCGCCTGAACTCAGGTGCTTGCAGTATGCTTGAGCAGGTTCAAGTTTCTGTCGTTTTAAGTGTTTGTCTTGTCAAGCTGGCTTTTTCGAAGAGCCATGTTTGAGTTCTTCTGTCCTTCCTTGCCGCAGGCTTGACAGTGCCAGCTGCGACATGGGGCTGGGCAGAGCATTCTTTGCAGGCGTCGGCCGTGTGTTTGCATGCTTCCAGTCACGTGGAGTGTTGCCTTCTTGAGGCGGCTGCGGAAAGCACCCGCAAGCTTGCAGCCTGGACGAGTGCCCTGGCCTCCGAGTTTTTGAAGGCATATTTTGCAGAGACGAATTCGCAGCATCGCTCCGCGACGTTGTGCTTTGGCCTGACTTGCACTGCCTGCAGCTTTCATCTGCGGCAGTTCACCAGTGCTGTTTCTCAGCAGCGCGGCCATCATTTCGGGACAGGGTCTGCTTATTCTGGCTTCGTGGCTGTTCAAAACCAAGCCGTTGTCAAAGTGGTGCTCCTTTGCGCTTTGGACGGTAGCCATTTGACGGTATCCAAAAGGTCAACAGCCATTGGAGCAGCCAGGTGTACCGCACACTCTTGGAGGAGCCGGCGTGGAAGGGACACCGGCATTTCTGCTGCTGCATCAGAGCAGCCCCAAGCAACATTCGTCCGTCCGGGGCTGTTCTGTTCCCTAGCAAAGCCCCCTACTGGCAGGTATGAAGGACAAGTTAGCGATGCAACCCGTCCACGTATATGCAACGATCACTTGGGCACAGTCCGCTCTGTCCAAATCCCATCTGGCGAGTACAAAGTGATGTGCGGTGCGGTATGATAATCGACAGAGAATGGCCGGGGGCTTCTCCCCAGGAAATCCATCAACACGATTTTCAACGTCCTCGTCATGCCCATTGAAGATGTGTGCTCTGAATTTTGCGTTTGCCCGAGAGGCCGGCTTTGGAGTGTCTTATCGTCGAGCCACCATCTAAGCCGGCAAAGTGGAGGTGAAACGCGTGACCATCTGTCGTGCCGCCCAAAACTGTGTTGCTTGCGACTGCATCTGTCCACGTGGCTCGTCATACAAATGAAATCAAATCACATCAATGGACGGCCGGCGCTAGCCACGTGTGTACTGGATTGAGTCTGAGGTTTTTCAATTCGGCAGAGGTCTACGATTCCCTTGCCGATGAGTGGTCTGCCCTTCCTGCCATGCCAACCCGTCGGCACGGTGCTTGTGCTTTATAGCTGCAGAAAGTGTTATCTTGAATGCCGTGTACCTCACACCTTTGACCACGCTCTGCGTGCGACCGTGCCACAAGGCTTGCTTTGTGGACGGCAAAGTGTACGTCCTTGGTGGCATGCAACTTGACTGGAAAGTTGTCGCTACAGGGACGAGACCTAGTGTGGCCTCAGCCCACTTCGAGCGACTTCCAGGTGCAAGGCTTTCTAGCAAAAGCTGCCATGGTAGAATTTGGTTTTGAAACTGCTCACAGTGTCTCTGCTCGAGGCCTTGTTGCAGCTCGATACATTAAACAAATTCTGTTGCAACGCCGACCCCGATCTTAGAAACCCTCCATTTGGTGATTGCCAAAGCCACGGACCAATAAAGCACAAACACAACTGTGCGACTCCCGTGCCCCATTCAAGTAGCCAGCCTCTGTTACGCGTTAATGCGACAGCCCGGAGCCAATCGATTGTGTGCAATGCCGAACAAACCGTGCCTGTGACGGGCGACGAAGCCATGGGCTATGGCGTGCCATGCCTGCACGAGCCTAGTGTATCCAGCTTACCTACGGTGTCGAAGCAACAATCTACATTCTTGGCGGACACGATGTCTGGCCGCAAGGTTCCGGATAGTGGAGTGGATTTTTGCTACGTGACAGTTTATGAAGCCCACCAGCTCATGAAGAATGACAAGGCGCTCTGCACACACGGCAGCATGCATGTCATGGACTCTTTCGTCAGTTGAACTTGTGCTCACGAAAGCTCCTCGTGAGGGAGCTTCGTTCATTATTTCACAGAGTGAGCTTGGGGGTTATCGCGGGGGGGTGCAGGGGGGTGGGGGTGGTCAGGGTTGGCGGTTTTTTTCCTCTATCCCCCAGCTGGAGCTGGACAAAACCCCGTTGCCAAAGGGGCCTGTTTTGGGCCAGATTTCGGTCCTTTTGGGTAAGTGGGTTTTTGGACGTCCAAAGGAAAAACAGGCCTCCTCTGATGCTGCTGATGCAGGCCTGGGCGTGTCCTCTGATGCTGC